GGCTGAGAGAGAAAAGTCTGATTGAACCATGCTTCCTCTGACCTGCAGTGGAGAATACTGTATTTTGTAGATGCAACATGCAACAGAGATGACGTACAATTGCTGTCGATGCAACAGTACCAACAGCCGATCACCATGCCACGCCTCTTCCCATAATCCCTAAATTACACTAATCTGTAATTCAACTCATAACTTGGGTGTGGGGCAAGTTCACCATGAATACGGAGGACAGAAGATGGGATCTGGCCCATAATATCTGACATCAGTTGAAAAATTATATACTCTTTCTTATTTTAGGGGTATTAAGTCCCTAGTCAACAGACATATGAAAAAAACCCACAGACTCAAGGAAAAGTGGACTTTTCCCCATCTGTCAGAGGACACCTCCATTTCTGGAGCTCACACCCTTGTACAAAGAGAGGATGCTTCAGCAGGTTGGTACTAGGGTTTCCCCCCAGCATGGACATTAGCATCCTGGTTACCAGCTAGCAGTGCTAACTCACCTTACAAGGGGATGACTTTTTGTGCTATGTGCCTGCACCTTTTTTTTGGAAGAGGGATAGGGATACAATTTTAGCAGTTTCAATCTCAAATAGAGGGCCCCAAATGCTGTCAGTTTTGGGGTCTTCAATAACCAGATCAATGAGGTAGCAGCCAAAGCCAACACAGGGACCTGATGCAACGTATTGATTTTTGATGGTGGCGATCCCTCCAGCCCCTCAAGAAATAATAAACCACTCAAACTGAAGTCTGAGAAAAAGCAACTGGTCTACAGGCCCTGAGGATGTCTTGGTTTCATTTCCACTGTAAATAAACCTCAGGCAGTGAGAATGCCTACATACAAATACCAGTTGTCCCTAGAAATAATTCATAATACAGAATTCCACAGTCAAGAAATGACAGATGGAAATAAATGTTTTTATTTCTCTGAAAAACTGACCATTGGTCAATAAAAATTCTTTTCTCACCCCCCAGAATGAAACCCTTCCCCAAAAATGTGAACATTAAAGAAAAACGCACTTGCAAGTCGTTTGGGTGATGGTAAAAACCCTGTAATTAGCATAGCAATCAATTTTTAAAGGTTGCTGCAAAAAATTATGCTCATGAACAAAATGTTTCTCTACAAATTGAAATCAATGCCTGTTTAGCATAAAGAAAAATAATTGAATGGGTGGCTCAACTTTCATCTTTTCAGAGGGTAGTAGGTTGTCCCCATTGGATTTCGTTACGGATACTGTCAGGCATCAAAAAACAATGCCTCACCTATGCCTGCTTGTGCCAATCAAGCACTGAAATGATCAGCTTGCTTCTAGACACGTGGCAATGGAGAGGGAAAACATTCGCTGGGCCAGACTACCTGGCCAATAAGTACCTGGAGATAGAAAAACTTAGCAGCACCTATTTACAAGTAGTACTTCTGGAAAGAGAGATTAACCTAGTGACTAAGTGGGACTTCACTTTCTCCGGAGCAGGGTAAATTAACTCAGTCCTCAATGGAACACTCACAGTTTAAAGGTTCATCCAAGCGTGCCAGGATCCGTACTTACGTTGCGTAGCTGTTTGGTACATTAAGGAGGCAATAGGGGAAGAATTAAACCCTGGGTTGATGGTTATTGCAGAAATCCAGCATTCACGTTACCAAAAAAAAAGGGCAAAGACCCAGTTCCTCTGCCTATGTCTCATTGTGGGAAGGGGTGTTAGGTGGCACCTGCAATCTCTGCATGTCCACAGCAGTTCTCCTGACAGCTGCTTAACCAAGTTGCTGAAGTACAATGTCGGCAGCTACTGTTCACTGCAGCTCTTCCTCTTGTTATTAAATACAGCACCACTGATAGCATGAAATGGAGTCATACTTTTTAATAAAAAATTAGATAAATTTAAACTATTGTACATGTCAAAATTACTAACCTTCAGAAAAGAGCTGACCGTAATCTGGTTGTCCTTGGTTCCCCCCACTCCCCCCTTCCTGGATATATTGCTCATTTGTCTCTTGATCAGTTTTTCTAAAGAACATTTTAAAAACACATGGTTACAAGCCTCAGTTGCGAACAGGACTAATCTCATTTGCTCTCTAAAATCTACATCTAGCTTATATTCCTGCATACATTTTTCATCAGCCATCGCTTTCTTTATTCATGACCTCTTACTCCATGACCGCACCATAATTGCAGTGACATTTACATTCAGGGTCTCGGAGTGATTTTTGGACTCCATCAACAACAAACGTGGGCTCGGTGGGAGGGTGACCAGCCAGTTGGGGATTTGGGAGGAGCACAAAGCTATCCTTGGTGTCATCAAGTCAGACAGGTATGTGCTGAGCAAGCAAAACCACCAGCTGAGCACAACCTGCCGGCTTCGGGAGCAATGCAACGAAAAGCATTAGTGGCAAAGCTCCTCACCCTCCACACCCAGCCTGTGCAAAGGCTGCGGGCGGCGTGGGTGCTGCCAGCCTTGGGGCAGGCACTGCGGGGCCAATTTTGGGGCCTCTCATGCTCCTGGGCAGGCAGGCTTGGGGTACCTGCTGGCCCAGTGGCAGGGAGCAGGGAAAGGAGCTGCAGCACCCCGGCTCCAGCCTGCACTGGAGCACATGCCCGTATGTAAACATGCTGGCTAGCAGGGCAGGTCTGGATTTGAGAGTACCTTTGGGCTTAACAGGCAGTGTAAACATATCCCCGGGTACACTGCGGAGGCCCCAGAAAGTGAGGCTCCACCTGGAAATGCAGGGAGGGTTTCTGCAGCAAACAGTCTCTGAAACATCACGTCGCCTTGCAGTGGTATCCCCTGTACTCTCAACCCATGGGGACTGGCGTCTTTTTCAACATCACAAATTTCATACCACTTCCAACAGCTTGAAGATCTGTTAAAAATATTTATTTCCCAGGATTTTAGCTTTCTGACTTCTATGCAAACTAACAACCAAATTGTGGGCAGTAAGAGCAAGCATTTGTTTACTTTGTAAGAAGACTACTTGCTGCTAATTGAAAACAAGCATTTTCAATGAGGCAGCTGTTTCAGTACTGTGAATAGACAGATCAGCATCACATTGAAGATCTAATAACCCGCTAATGAACCTTAATTTTTGGAGCCCCCTCCCTCACCCATTTCCACATTTCAATAATTTCAAAACCATTGATATGTGCTGCCAGAGAGTTAAGTATGCCCTCTGACATCTTTTAATAAAAAACAGAAAAATGGTAGCTTTTTTTTTTGAGTTATCAGACTATATTAAAAACCTTGTTACATGTATTTAACAATTTCTTTTTTTTCCTTTTCTTAAATAAATAGCAAAGTGTCACCAAAATGAATGGAACGCCGGCACCATTGCGTCAATAGAAACTTCCATACTAGGATGAATACACAGTCATATTCTGGAATATTGCATAAAAAGATACTTTGGAGGAAAGGTGGTGGTTGCTGGTGCATCTTAGGTGGTGAAAGCATCAACCTGTGAGCAGTCCGTGCAGCAGTATCGTGATGTGGCGCCTTTGCAAAATCTCACCGGCCCAAACCAGGTGGCTGCAGAGGTGGCCTCGGTGAGACCCTGCAAGAGAACAACTCGCAGGACATCTACACAGGACATCAACTTACCGCCTGCTATCAAGAGCAACGCAGCCGATGGCGTAACACGAGGGGCTGACCGTCTCACTCTCTAGGCAGAAGAACACTAGCTTTAAATGAGGGAAATAAACAACATTAAAACCAAACAGGTTGTCTAACACTCAGCAGGGCAAGGGCTTGGAGAGTTGAAGCTGCCAACTCCTTCGTCAAGAGGGAAGGATGCAACTATTCACCGTTACATTGAAGCTTACAGAACCAGGCGTCATTTTTTGACGGGTTTCCCTGGGCTGAGCTGGTGTTATTTTTAAGTCTGACCAACAGCCTCTCTTCAAACCGGGACAAAGCTTAAAAAGGACAGCGCTGAAGGAAGATGAGCAACGTGCGGCACACCAGACAGATCCCGCAACGGCGTCTGCTGCCTTTAACTCGCTCCACCGTGCGCGGGCAGCGCTGCCCGCTGCCTGCGTCTGCTGCCTTTAACTCGCTCCACCGTGCGCGGGCAGCGCTGCCCACCCGCTGCCTGCCGGAGCGGCCGCCACTCCACGCGCTAGAGTGCAGTGAGCTAAATCCCACCTCTCTGCTTCTGTTGGCTTAAATCAGACCCTCGTTATTTTAAACAGAGTTTATTGTATTTAATACATTATAAAATTTGAAAAAATTGTAGGAAAGCAGCAGATTCAAACCAGAGCATCTCTACCAAATATTAATTATTCTGGCCCCCTTTGAAAAAACACAAAACAAAACAAAAACAACAAAAAACTCATTCAAAAGAAAAGTTAACCTTTCACATCTGTGAGGGCAGACAAAAAGTGTGCGAATTCTGTACAAACTACATTTAAAATTTCAGTCGACTAGCTTTCCAATGCAATGGATGGTCGTCTCCTGAACACCTGCCCATCCACCTCTAAAAAAGACAGACATAAACCTCCATATGCAAATGAAGTTGAGTCAAGGTGTGTACACATTAAAAAGTGGATGGCTGTTTGGCAATGGAAAATGGGTGAAGAGTAGTCTATGTATCCCCCAATGGTAATGGCTTGTACACCGTTAAGTGGGCCCAAGTAAGGCCTAGGACACTTAATGGCCATCAGAGCACCAACCTCAACTACCACTTTTTTGTTGTTGCATTTCCTACCCTTTGACATATACATACATATATATATGTACATACATACATATACATACATATTTTTTCTATATATATGTGTGTGTGTGTTTTCTTTTACACCTTGAGGTTATTATTATTACTACTATTCCAAATGTTCCCATATGAATTCAGGTGTGGTCTCTATATTTGATATAAATGTGTCTTTTATTCAATTTTAGTTCCAGGACTTGTTTGGAGTCCAAACTGCACATGAAACGTCCCCCTTTTTTTTCCTCTCCCTTTTCCTTTTTTTTTTCTTTTTTTTTTTTTTTTTGCATAAAGAAACATGTCCATTTTAGTCCAGAGGCTCTTGCTTTATTCGAATGACGGAGGGTGCACGAGATGTCCTTCTGAGTTCTCGTCTCAGTACGTATTCACTGAATTGGGAAGAGTCCACCCCACCTCCACATGAGCCAACAATCTCAAACCCTCTTTGCTGTAACCTCTCAAGTACCTGCAAAAAAGAAGAAACAAACACCAATGTATAAGTAAACAAACAGACTATTTGCTGTCTGAGGACAATAACTGCTGTTTTCAAATGGATCCAGCTAGGAAACAAAAGTGGTTACGCAGATCCGCTAACTGGTTCCCTCAGCTTCGTTATATTGGACTGATTTCTGCTGACTTTGGCCACTGAGCAATAAGAAGAAAAATATATTTTTTTTTTAGTACTGTCAACAAATCCAATATTCTTCCAGCCACAGAAACATGCCTGGAAAGATGCATTCTCTGCTTCACAAAATTTACAATATAAAAGTGTAAATACAGGATTGCACAGCAGATACCGGAGGATGCTGAGCATACACCTCAACTAAATGGTGACAATGTAGATACTGCAGTCATAATTTCAGAAAAGTTACCATCATATTTTAGAATCACAGAATCATAGAATCGTTTAGGTTGGAAAAAACCTTTAAGATCTTCAAGTCCAACCGTAAACCTAACACTGCCAAGTCCACCACTAAACCATGTCCCTAAGCACCACATCTACACACCTTTTAAATACCTCCAGGGATGGTGACTCAACCACTTCCCTGGGCAGCCTGTTCCAATGCTTGACAACCCTTTTGGTGAAGAAATTTCTCCTAATATCCAGTCTAAACCTCCCCTGGCACAACTTGAGGCCATTTCCTCTTGTCCTATTGCTTGTTCCTTAGGAGAAGAGACTGACACCCACCTCGCTACAACCTCCCTTCAGGTAGTTGTAGAGAGACAGATTTTCTAGAGACTTAAAAACCAACCATGACTACAAAGGTTTGTGGCTACAGTTACCTGTGGTAAAACCTGGGACCTTTTAACTTTAATTACGGCACTAACGAGTTCTACCTATTCACCTTCTTTCCTCCCTTTTCACAACCTGAGTGTTGCTTCCAGTGGGAAATACAATGGCAAAAAAAAGAAAAAAAAAAACCACAAGGAAAAAAGAAGAGTCAGGCAGGGCTCTCGGAGCGGCCGGGGGGTGTGCCCAACACAGCTCACACAACAAACGATGGTGCAAAGACCTCAGCTCCCAGCACCAGCTCCAGGCTGCTAAGAACATGGTCTCCTTCCACACCACTATTCCACTACTTTATTTTTTTTTTAAATAACCCATGTTCATGCTGGTTTACTGTAACTGCAGGGCTGAGGCATTCTTTCCCTTGTTTATACTCTTTGCTACTTTTATCATCATCTGTATCTGTTCTGCTGCCTAGGCTTCCTTCGCCTCACCTGTGAAGGAGACTCTTCCAGGGCTTCACCAGGGTCGGCTTGTGATGGCCACCAGCCCCAAGGGGGGGCTGATGCTCCTGCACACCACAGGACGTGGGACCCTCTGTCCAGCATGACCGGACCTCACTGGGGTTGTGCTGGGAGCGGGTGCCTACCGAGTCTTTCCCAGCTATTTCACCAATTAGCAAATTGGCTTGCATGTGTGCTGGGACAGCAAGGGCAAGCAGAGCAGCAGAAGGCTGCAGAGGATTGGGGTGGGGGGAGAAGCGAGCTGTGGTTTAAAAACGCTTAAAACAAGACATGCCACATCTTTACATGTATTGCTTCAGGTCGGCAAATGTCTTTCCAAAATACCTGAGCACGGCTAATTGCACAGCAGACAAATCTCAAAAAAGGAGGGGGTGGGAAAAGAGACTCGGAAGCAACCATCAAAACATCTGTGCAATTTTTGTTTACCCTGATCTTTAGCTTTTAACGATATAAGCCAAAATCCCCCAAAAATGTCTCAGTGCAAGCCACTGAGAAATAGAGCAGGAGAACTTAGGTCCTGAGAAAAAATGCGGTGGAAGCAACAGGTCAGGGAGCTAGCCTAGCCCTGGACAAACCATTTGGTCTGTACCTCACTCTCCAGGTCTATTCATAGTCCCTGTCGTGCCTTACATTGTTATTAGGACTGGGAGATGCTTACGTCCCCCAAAAATGGAAGATGCAGCATTATCAACATGGGATCATCATCTCTCTTGAAGCCTGTGCCACTCTGACTCGGGTTTTTCACATCAGTAAATATGCTTGGCAATTCTTATTTGTGTGACAAAAATGTAAGCATCAGAATAAGTGACAAACAGCTAAAGGATACAACTGCTTTGAGAACTATCATATGACATGTGGCTAAATAACCCTCCTTGAAAGTCCTATCCCTTTTCAGATGTAATCTTACATCTAAGGCTGTTCTAAATTTGCATTAGTCACTATGACAAAACAACTCTGATGTTTCAGCATGACAGTAAAGGCCAGTAAGAGACAACTGTCCAAGCGTAACATGGGTTAACCATATCTCAGTAGGTCTAGATAGGTCTATCCAGACTCCTGTGTTAAGTGCTAGCACATATGCAGTGCCTGGCGAGCCTGCAGTGCATACTGCGGCGCTCAGCTCGATTCCTCTGGGGAGAGAGCAGAGCAGAGCTGCTCTATCTGGACAGCAGGACCTGGCAGATGGAAAGATGCCAAGCTCAGCTTGCAAGTCTCTCCTGTGTAAGAACTTGCTGATGAGTCTGCAGCATTTAGGAGGTTTATCTAAACCAAACAGCATCAATAGTGCTAGTGACAACTCCAGACGTGAAGAAATCTTCTCACTCCAAAGTGCTGGCTGTGCAGGATGTGCTAACTAGGTGGAGACAGGTGTGTGAGGTTGTTTGTTTTTAACCAACGAAGGATAAAACAGATGACACTATAACTTATAAGTTTATTATAATTATTCCAGAAGTTACCTGCATTTGTCTCCCAGATTTTTTCTTATCCATTTCATAACAGCTACTGATTTTAGATATTGCTACATAGAATCATAGAATAGTTTGGGTTGGAAAGGGACCTCTAAAGGTCATCTAAGTCCAACCCCCCTGCTGTGGGCAGGGACATCTTCAACTACATCAGGTTGCTC